CTCCAAGCTCTCAATTTGTTGTGGAATGATCAAACGCCTAAGTGTTCAAGGATTCAGTGCCTAGGTTCATTTATCGTGGCGTCTAGATGACCAAAGTTTGGCGTCCGCATGCCAACCTTTCGTGTTGTTAAGGCATGAACTGACACCTAAGAGCCCAAAGGTCTGGCCCCTAGGCGCCAGTGCCACTTTGCACCATTCAGCTCCAAGTCCTCCCCTGTTTTCCCTACTTCAATTACCTATTGCTCCTGCAAGATAAACACAAAAATACTTTCCTTAAAGTGCAATATCATCACTACAAATGTAAAAAAACAATCCTAAATTCTGGTTAACTTTTCATGGATCAAACATATATGTAGATTTATAAATTAGTGCATTTAATTATCAATTATAAAAATATTTCATGTGTACTAGATATTGAACATCCAAACATCAAAATTAACATACAAACCACACAATTCTTATGGATAAGACATCCAACACCTAAACTTCAATTTATACATATAAGCTATCACTAGCTTATCTTTAATGTTCTTTGCTTGGTTATCTAAATTTTAGTACCAATCTCTATTCATTTATGGCTAGGCTCACTCTTTGTTGTTATTTTTCTCATTTTAAAAGGTGGAAATATGGCTACATTTTATGTAATGTTCAAGATTTAAGGGGTATGTGTGCAAAAATGAAAATTTAATTTTGAGATATGTAAATATATTATAATTCTGGGCTATGCATGTAAATTTCCAACACTTTTATTGCTAAGTCTCAAGTTTTATTTTAACACCAAAACCTGCACTCCTTTTAAAATCATGAAAATAAAGAATTCTTTATCTCTCCCTCCATCCAAATCTTAATATTGATCATGCCTCCAAGTTGCACCTCATTAACTTTATTAAGACCTAATCAAACTATGATTCTTATGCCATTAATTTTAATTTACACTTCATTCATAACATATATCAATGCAACATTTTTTTTAAATCAAATTCATTCACATGTGCACTAGCAAATTAAATTCTTGGTAAATACTTGTATGTGACCTATATAGAATGATTAAGAAATAGGTGGGGTGTACATTTACGTATGTATCGCACATTTCTTATGCATTTAAATATGTCACAACTAAACTTTCTTATTTACACATGAATATTTTTTTACTATTGTATTTTATTTATTGTGTCATGTCATTTAATCTTAATGTTACATGTGACACTTAATATATTTCTTATTTACACATTCATATTTCATTTAATCTTAATATATTCAAATCATTTTTTATACAATATGCACAAGTTTTTTTTAGGTCAACCTCTAACTTTTCTATGATTGGAAGAATTTAAAACATCTAGCCTCCAAATCGAATCATCAAAAGGTCGATTATAATCTGACAAAAAAATCTAAAATGACTACCTCTTATCTTGTTTGTCATAGGAGTAACAAAAACCCTATAACGGATATAATCATTTAATATGTTTTTTCTAAGTGTAAAGCCACTCATCCTCCTAAGTATCCTTAGCATATCAATACTTGGTTTTATGCTTCTCTTTTATAGGCCAACATTTCACACCATAAAGCATTATAGGTCGCACCACCATCATATAAAATGTTCACGTAAGTCTAAGCGATACACTGTCATCACACACAATAGTCCCATTTCATTCATCCATTTCAACCATCCTAATTGAAAGCTAAATACGACGTTGAAACTATCCGTCTAAATTATCCAACTCACGAACTGTCCATAACTTTAAATGATGCTAAACATCGCAAATTTGATTCTTAAAATTACCCGTAAAATGTCTAATGCAAAATCTAATACTGATTAACTCATTTCCTGTAATGTCAAAAATCAAAACTTTAAAAAAATACTTCCTAAGTATGACATTTTAAGATAAATTAAAACAAAACTTTTCTAAAAACAAATTTTAAATAAAATCTTTTCAAAGTATATTTTTTTCTATAAAACATAAATTAAATTAAATATTTTCCAAGTAAAAATTTTCTCAGAAGGACACTTAAACAAAGCTTTTTCAAAATATACCATTTTCGAAACAAACAAAAATAAATGGCTTTCAAAAGAAAAATTGAAGTAAAAAATTTTTCAAAATAAAACTTATATAAAAATCTTTGAAAAAAAAACTAAAATGGTTTTTTAAAAATAAAACATGAATAAAACCTTACCAAAACAGAACCTAACCAAATAAAACCGCAGTAAACCTTTTTCCAAAACTAAAAAAAAAAAAAAATCTATGTAAGCTTGTTCAAAAAATAAATAAACAACCCTTTTTTCAAACTAAAGACATCTAAAAAATGCTTTTAAAAAAAATAAAACTAACCTAAAATATTTTCAAAACAAAAAAAATACATTCAAATATATGTAAATCTTTTTAAACTGAAGCGCTTATTTTCCGAAATCTGCTCATGACATCACCAAACATATAAGTTTTCATAAGTAAATATAAAAATTTGTAAATCATTCACCGAAATATCTAACTTATTTAAGACATGTAGTCAGTCGTTTACATCTCTCACCTGCAAAAGAGAATATTTTTATTCAAAAACATGTAATATATAAGTTTAACTTCTAAAATACAAGTCATAAGAAATTTCATACTTACAAACTTTTTTCACTTAAATAATTGGAATGCTTAATAGTATATTTGTGTGATAAAATATTTTTCACATATATTTATAAAAATTTCCTTTTTCATATGTGTGAAAATAAAATTTTAAAAATCAAACATGGATATGAAACTTAAGTGTGCGGAAATGTAAGCATTGAATGACATATGAATGAGACCTGTTTTGACATGTAAGGATCAACATAAAAGTAAACAAAACCAGAAACCAAACTTTAGAATGCCAACTTAGGATAAAAAAATAAATAAAAAAGTATTAACCTAGAATGTCTTGATTCTCATAATAACCAACTTAATTAACAAAGTCTAAAATAATTTTATAATTCACCAACTTCAAAAACTAAAACCACCACTACGCTAATAAACTGTGAACCCTAGGTTAAAAAACATAGAAACTAGATCCACAATCACACATACCCTAAAATTATCTAGTGTGGAAGCCTATGTTAGATTATTAAGTAGCCCAAGTTAGAGATAAGATCTAGGACTTATAAATCAAACAACCTTATTACAATATATTGATTTCGTACCTTACCATGGTTACTAATAAATGACTTGCAAACCACATAATAGTATGAAGTTCTCAACTCACCGTTCTTATGAAATTTCTGATTTTCTAGTTTGCTAATAGTTTAAGAATATAAATGAACCTAGGATGTTGAAAAACCATGGACATCTTGACTAGGAGAGTTATAACTAAAAAGTAGTTTGTCTATCTATTTAGTCTCCTTGCAAGGTCCAAGTTTATATTTGGGTGGAGGTTTCATTTTCATCTAAAAATCCTTCTAGCCCGTCTTATTCCTTAGTCTAGGATTCTACTTCATTTAATTTTTTTAAATTAAAACCAAACCTTTTTTACTCGAATAAATCAGCCCAAACAAAACCTTTTTCAACTCAAATTAAGCCTCAAATCAAACCTTTTCAACACAAATCAATCAACCTCAAGAAAATCCTTCTTAGCTCAATTCAATCCACAAATCAAACCTGCTTAACTTGAACCAATTAGTTCAAATCAATCAACTCATAATAAACCAATATTTCAAGTTAAAATCTATCTTTTTCAATAATCTTATAATTCCAGCCCTCAGTGTACAGCTTCATTTCAGAGTTAGCCGAACTTTTTTCTTAGCCTTTTCATGACACATCATCGATGGATAGCTTAAAATTCCAAGAAGAAATATTTTCAAACTTCGAGCATATCAATTTGAACTCCTGCAATAACAACTGGAAGACATCAACATTATAATCTTACATAATATAAGACAATATTAAAATCAAGAGTATTGTTGAGAGTCCACTAATCATGGGATATATTGAAATATGAGGGCTTGCTTTTATAGGAATATCAGACCACAACTTAAAATAAAACATATATTGCACCCTTAAGTTGGGATTGGTTTGGTTACATAGACTCGTACAATTTTATAAATTTTTCTCATCTAAATGACTCGATCCATTTTAGATAATATTGATATCTCTCGGGATAGTATATTATTCTTCGATTGACTCATTCAATGATTTCGATAGGAATCTCTCAAAATTTGATGTGGGCACGAAACATTACCACCCCACATACATCTATGTATCAAACACCAAATTCTTAGAGGTAGTTGTGATTGGTGTTCACATCAAATTTTGAGAGATTCAAATCTAAATCATTGGATGAGTCAATCGATGAAAAAAATACTATTTCAGATGGAAATAATAGAGGTCGATCCATTTTAGATAATATTGATATCTCTCGGGATAGTATATTATTCTTCGATTGACTCATTCAATGATTTCGATAGGAATCCCACAAAATTTGATGTGGGCACGAAACATTACCACCCCGCATATATCTATGTATCAAACACCAAATTCTTAGAGGTAGTTGTGATTGGTGTTCATCAAATTTTGATAGATTCCAATCAAAATCATTGGATGAGTCAATGGATGAAAAATATGCTATCCTGAGAGATGGAAATAATAGAGGCCATAAAGTACATACCACCAAATTCTCATGTATTTATGTATCTAACATTTAAAACATTGCTTTTTTACATTTACACCAACTAAATCATTCACATCACATAATAAAATATTACTCTTTTGGCTTTTAAAATGTAAAGTAAAATTCACCTACACCTCTTCATGCATAGGGAAAACCGTGGTAGGTATGTAAAAATTGAAGTTTAGGTACCTAATATGTAAATACATATGAATTTAGTGATATGTATGTAAATCTTCCAAAATATTTCATCTCCATCTCATCTTATATTCATCTTCTCCTTTAATTTCAAGATGAAGATCTAATACAAAACAAAATACAGAACAGATTCATCTTAAAGTCCTAATAACTACAACAAAAAAAGAAAGAAAAGAATTCATCTTAAAGTCCTAATAACTACAACAAAAAAAAAAGAAAGAAAAGGGTCGGAAATCCAAACGAACTAAAACTCTTCACAAATCGAAGAAAGCCTTTTTGAGGCTCCCTTTCTTCGCGCGCTTATTCCTGAGATTAAGTATCACGAAGGAGCAAAACCTGTAACCCAGTATGAAACCTACCATCACCATCACGTCTTTCCACCTCTTGGCACTCCCCAAACCCTCCTTCTTCAACAGCGCATCTCCATCCAAGAGACAAACTCCAAATTTCTCCTCCAAGCACTTGCCCTCGCCCGAGAACTCGTTGACCAGAAACGATTGAAATGGATATCTGAACAATGAAAGATAGTTCATGAACACCCAACAACCTGGCATTTCCTCCTTCCTTATAAAGTACCCAGAGAAGAGGAAGAAGGATCCCATGACGCCGGAGATAACAGAGTTCCCCACGATGAAGTTGGGTGCGAGGGAGCTAAAGCAGACCACCACAGAGTTTGCTGTGTAGAGGATGAGCCATATAAGCAGCAAGAAAAAAGCGAAAGAGGACAGACTCCGATCAAGACCTGCGAGCCAGTACACCGGCGAGGCGAAAAGAAACGCTAAGATAAAAAGGAAAGGCAAGAAGACAAGTCCATTTGCTATTACGTAGGAAGAGACCCTGTAAGCTCCGCCGAAAGTTTCCTTCATAAGAATCTCTCTCTCTTTTAAGAAAATTGGCAAAGCTTCTGTGGTGCAGGAGAGTAGGAAGGTGAGGATGAAAGCGAAGAGCCCGACACGATCTCGCGCGCCGGCAATGTCGAACTTAAGGTCAAAAAAGATGGAGCCAAGCACGAGGCCTGACAGAAGCATCTGAATAGTCCGGCAAGTGAATAGTTCTTTTGTGCGGGATACGTTTTTCATGAAACGCAGAGTAAGTATCGCTGTTTCGACAGCTGGATTGTTGGCGTAGTCAAATTCAAGGTTGAACAACTCGGAATGGCTATCAGCGACCTTTTGGATTTGGAAGAGCTGCTGCAGGGTGCAGTGGTCTGCTTTTTCATTTCGTTGGAGTTGCGAGAGAGAGTCTATCGAATCAATGGCGAACTCCACGGGGTTAGTGTGGGCTGGAAGGGGGTGGCCGGCAGCGGCGAGGCGGGATATGAGGTCGGCGATGGTGCCGTGGTGGAGGACTTTGCCTTCGGAGAGGAGGAGAAGTGAACCAAAGAGTTTCACGATGCGTGAGCATGGCTGGTGAATACTGAGAACGACGGTTCGTCCACGCGACTCGGCCATGGAGCGGAGCATGTCTACGATCTGCAGCGCAGAGCTCGAATCTAGACCAGAGGTGGGCTCGTCCAGGATTAGGACAGCTGGGTCGTGGACAGCCTCGACCGCAATGGAAAGGCGGCGGCGCTCTCCGCCAGAGATAGAGCTAACGCGTAAGGCAGCAACTGGAGCGAGACCAAGCTCGACGAGGAGGGCTTCCACGCGTGGGCGAAGTTCTGTGCTGGTCAGACGGAGGCGTAAGCGAGCGGTGAAGGCGATAGTTTCGCGTACCGTGAGGAGTGGGAAAAGGCAGTCTTTTTGCGGAACGAAGGCGGAAATGCGGCTAAAGGATCGCTTGGAAAGGGGGAGGTCGTCGACAAGGATGGTGGCAGGGGGTGGAGGAAGTGGTATGCGGCCCGCAAGTAGCTCAAGAAGGGTGGACTTGCCGGCACCGCTAGGTCCGACGACGGCAAGGATCTCCCACGGCTTGGCGCGGCAAGTCACGTTGTTTAGGACATGACGGACGGCGGGTGGCTGCCGGATGGGAAACTCGGGATCGGCAGGTTCGTCGCTGCTCCATATCTTTTTGAAAAAACGGTGGCTTGGGTGACAACTCTGGATCGTGTAGGTGATGCCTCTGGCTACTATCTCGTATCCTTGTTTCCTCATTGAGATGAAGGTGCAAAGCAGAGCAGAGGCAACAAGAGCTTCCTTTTTCTTCCCCCTTCCCGTAGCATATTATTCGCACAAGTGATTTATGTCGCAATTTTATTAATAAGACTATTGCCCTTTGTTTTGTATTTCAATTTTATAAATGGGTGGTTCGCCAAGATGCCGCGCGTCACTCCTACGCTGGTGGGGTCTGCGCAGAGATTTCTTCTGTTCCTTGATGTTTATTTAAAAAAATTTACAAGCATATTCCTAAATTTTTATATATTTATATATCGTATATTAAACTTTTTATATTGATAAAAAACCATCAATATTAACCAATTTAAATAAAACATAATTTTGTTACACATTTTTTAGTGTAATTTAGAATAAAAAATAAAAATTATTTTATATTTATAAATGCCTAATAACTTTGCTGTATGTATATAAATCTTTCAAATATAAAAATTAAATTTTGGTTGGTAACTAAACATATTAGTAGATGGTTGAACGTTTTAATATGTGCATTAATTAGCCATTTCTAATTTGTTAATTGTATAACTAAACCTTGATCGATCAAACGTAAACCAGAAGATCACATAGAATGTGTCTCAAATCTAAACCTCTTTTTAATATTTCAAGATTATGGGATGGAGGCAAGGTGACAAGATAACTTCAACCATAATAGTCTAATTGGGCAAAACAAGCCACAGTATACCAACTTGGTTGATACCAACATAACTTCTACCAAAATAGTCTTGTTCAGTATGCCAATTTTGTATATCAACTTAACCGATCAATTCAAGAAGTCAATTCGAAAAGCCCATTTTGCCAACAAGCACAACATAGAAATTTCGTTTGCCTGCAAGCGATATAGTTTGGCAGTAGTTACGACGGGATAATTCAACCAATTTGCTCAACTGTCCAGATTATTGGATAAATCTTGCTAGCATGCTACAATTTTTATTTTATGCATGAGAATTTGTCTCATGTAAAAATTTTTTTATCAGATCGTCACCATACAAAATGGACTCTGCGAGTGCGTTCGGATTAACAAAAAATTTCAAAAAATCCCCTACACTCCAAAATCATATTTTGTTTTGGGGTTCATCTAGCCTACGATAGTTCAAAAATTAATTTGGATAAATTGGAAGATAATTAATATTGCACCCTAGAAATGCTTTCAAATAACCTCTAAGCTCAAAATACATTAAAATTGACCCGATGACATTAAAATTGAATAATTTGAAATTCTTCTGAGCTCTTATCCAAAGATCTCAATTTTTATGGGGCTGGACTCATAATTTATTCATATTGGGCATTTTTTTAACAAAAACTAACTTCATCACGAGTTTCATTGAGTTTTATTTCACTTAGAAGGGATTGACGTTATCATTTTAACCCAAACACCCAAGCTTTCAGGCCCCAAGCTCACCCAAGGTCATCAACAGCATGCTCGTGTTGGTGCCTACATAGGGGATTGTCGGAGCACATGTGTGCTTCCATGTGCCCGCGCCCTTTTTGAGGCCCTGCAGTGCCCCCCACCCCCCACTCACCCGCCAGGGCTCGCACTCACCCAAGGGAGTGGTGCACCTGTGTTGCAAATTTAACTAGCTCGCATGTGGTCGCACACACCAGCATGCACTAGCACTATCGACAGCCTGAAC